GCCTCAGCCGGCTGGCCACACTCTTCCTAATGCACCCCAGGATCCCATTGGCTTTCTTGGCAGCCAGGGCACACTGCTGGCTCATGGTCAACCTGTCGCCCACAGCTGGGTTTGCTTTTTTATTTTCTTTTCTTTGCAACAATGAATAAACTTTTGCTTTCGTAGGGTTGTGATGTAGTGAGTGAGTAGCAAATCGGCCTGGTAAGGAAACAGAGGAATGCCAGCAACGGAGCAGACTTTATTGGGGTGTGCTGGCCCCGCTCTAGGCATCAGTTGCATAGAAACAGGGTTTCTTGTTTTGTTTTGGATTGTCAATAATTTGAAAGAATAAATACATTTTCAAGGTTAATTTGGCGATAGCACCAGGTCAGCAACTGCAGATCCCCCGTCCGTTCTCCTGTCTGCAGACTGCTAGTTGTTTCTGCCTTTGTCCTGCTGGTTGGTTGCTCCAGGCAGAACATTTGCATGGCTGTTAGAGATTTTATATGAAAAATAGGAACTGCAGAATGACTTGCTCAGACTTCCGCTCCTTACTGCACTGAGAAATGGGAGCTTTAGCGAAACTGGAGCAAAGTAGGCTGGAGGAGCAAATGAAGATGCGAGGGGATTCCACGTGAAATCTAAGTTAAGAAGAACAAATAATTTTTTTTTTTTATTATTCTGTCAGATGCCATATTGATTTGATATGCTTGTGGTGCTGTGAACATGTAAAGTGTATTTTAGTGTTCAATAAGTTTTTATTGCTTCTTTCCTTGCTTGCCAAAGAGTTCACATTTGATGCGTGGAATGTTTTGGTAGTGTTTGAAGCGTAAGGTTTTCTGAAAAGGTGAGTGTATTTTCACGACTTGAGATGCTGCTCTTTGTCTGAATAAAGTTCACGGTGCGTCACACTGACAAAAAAGCCTGACTGAAGCCCACAGGTTTGTGAAACTCACGCCTGCCTTTGAAGAACTTTGTTGTTTTAAAAAAAAGAAAAGCCAAACCCAGACATGTCCTTGCTTTCGGCATTTTAAAAGGAGTGTCTTACAAAACAAGAAGATTTGGGTTTAAGTACAGTCTGGCTTCTCTTTGAGCAGGCACATTATGTACCGATACTTAGGGTAGGATTTCTTTAAACTTAATTTGGGATGAGGCCTGCCTTGCATGTGAGAGGTGAGGAGAAACGTTGTGAAGACTCGTGCATCTGATTCAAAACTGGTAGTGTCAGAAACGCCGAAGCAAAAGAATGGTCTCTGTTTCCTTACTGATGAATGTAGCAGTCAAACAGATCTCTCCTCTTTTATTTGAAGGCTCAGAATGCTTGTTCCAGAGACAAAGGGGGTATTTGTCATTGTTAGCAAATGGAAGAATTTAAAGTGCTTTCGTTACAGAAATGTCTGAAATTTGTTCTCTCCATCTCACACCATGCCTAGGCTGCCGGTTCCTGGTGTGGATTATTTTAGAACATCTCTCTAACTGAATGTTTGGTGTAAGAACTGGTCTTCAGTGATAGAAATTAATGAAATGCTGGTGCACTTAAGGCTGTTCCAATAGAGTTGTGTTCCCTGTTGCATCTTCCTGAGCGTTGTGTTTTCCTGCCAGATAACCTGTGTGCCAAAAAAGCAGTCGTGTCTGGCCTCACCCTGCATGCCAACATTGCTCGCCTGGTCGATGGCCACGTGGTCCTCAACGACAAAGGAGTGGAAGACGGAGCCGTAGGGGAAATCGTCTTCAAGCGTGCGCTGGCCATCCTCATGTGTGCCACCTACAGAAACCAGCTGCTGAACGTGTTCGTGCGTCCCTCGCTGGTGGCAGTCGCCTTGCAGATGACGGGCAGCTTCAGGAAAGGTGCGTTTGGGTGGCTCGGAGATCCGGACGGCTTTGCTCCTTGTGCTGTCCTCGTGAGAGGAGCACGCGGTTCCCGTGGCTGCTAGTGGGAGTATCTGAGACCGTTCCACTCCGGGTCGGGTCCCGTGGCGTGAGGTGGATGTGCTGGGAGCAGACGGGGGTATTTTGCTTGCTTTTTTTGTTTGTTTACCCTTGGATACTTGTGAAAGTAGGTATATTCTGCTGGGAGAACAGCCTCAGCTGTTCGAGTCTGCCTCGGTGCCCACCTCTCCTGGGCCGCACAGCATGGCGGTGTCTACTCTGCAGCGTTCCTACAGCGGCTGATGTTCCTCTTTACACCTTGAACTCGGGAGGTTTCCATGTTCCTGTGCATTAGTAAAGTGTGGGGTTTTTTTTTTTAATATTTTGATGATTCATGGTTGAGCCCTTTTAGCTTTTTTTACGGGCATTTATCTTGTGTAGGTTCAGATGGGACATTGCGAGTGCTGTGAGGGAAGTGCTTACAGTGCTTGTAGTGCCTCAGTAGGACAAGGGGAGATGGCCTCAAGTTGCACCAGGGGAGGTTCAGATAGGATCTTAGGACAGGCTTAGGGTGAGCTGTTCCCAGTCCTTAAGTGTCTTATTTTGCTGGCGTTTAGCAGACCAGCTTTTTAGGTTACTCACGCTTGGATACAGCGCAACCAGTTCTTAGTCTTTCTTCGCTTCCCACTACTGTTTTGGAAGTATTTCAGTATTTTCCGATACTTGGCTCTTAAACTTTTCGGAATACATACCTTAGCTCTGTGCAGATTCTGATTCTGTGGTGTTTGATGCATGTTCTGAGAAGCTACAACCCCCTGCTCTTTTCGTCTGGTAACAACTGAATCAAGTGCTTTGAGTGCTTGCTGCTCTGCTGTGGTGGTTTCTGCTGTATAGGCGTGTACGCTTTTAATGTCAAGTCCAGATTTTATCTGAAGTAGGTACTCTTTCTAAAATAAGAAGTAAATGACTTTTCACTTGTGTCTTTTAAATTGTGTTTTTAAACATCAGTACTTTACGACATTTTTTTTCAGAGGAAGTCTATAGCTGCTTCAGCTTCTTGAGAGACGTTTTTTCTGATGAGTTCATCTTCTTTCCTGGCATTTCGCTGAAGGTAAAAACATCCTTTATACAAAAATCCTGATGGTCGGTAATGCAGCCAACGAAAATAGCGTCTGATGTCAGGGCTCTGCCGAACACGTGCTTTGGGATGAACACCTACTGTGATACCAACTTGATCTGTAAGTGGGAGGGAGAAGTTAAAAGAGGATCATTGGGTTAGTTGGAAAACATTGTCTGAATCCACAAGGTTGCATATGCAATCTTTTTTTTTTTCTCCCCCCTTCCAGTAAAAAACTAAAAATCCTGAAACTGCCCAATTCTGAACTATTAAAATGAACTGTAATGGAAGTCTGGCTCTTTTGCATAATGCTACCAGTCTTCCAGCACGGATAGAAAAATATATGGAAAGCAGTGTTTTAAATGAAGTCTAAATACTGTCCTCTTGCTCTGCGGTTGTGAAAGAGACCTTGGGCTGTGAAGACAAAAGTGTTAATGTAGATTTAATTGAGTTCCATCACGGAGTGGGTATGTTCTGTCAGCGCAGAAGCAAAACAGGAATTCTCACTGAGGGCACACCAGGATAATTGTTCCTGAAAGCTCTTGCTGACTGTGTGGCAGAGGGGCACTGCCGCTCTTTCAGAAAGTTAAACTGTAGGTATTACACCAATTAAGACTGACCGTTGTGTGCCCTTGTTATCTCTGATGGACAGGGTATGCAGTTCTAAATTTAGGTGCCTGTTGTCCTCTGGTTGGTTACACTCCTCCTTGTGCAGCTGTGATGAGTTGCTTTGTGTCGCTCTGCGATGGCAGGGCTGCCCGAGGGCTGTGCCAGCACCCGGTGCCTCAGCTGTTCGAGTCTGCCTCGGTGCCCAGCTCTCCTGGGCCGCACAGCATGGCGGTGTCTACTCTGCAGCGTTCCTACAGCGGCTGATGTTCCTCTTTACACCTTGAACTCGGGAGGTTTCCATGTTCCTGTGCATTAGTAAAGTGTGGGTGGTTTTTTTTTTTAATATTTTGATGGTTCATGGTTGAGCCCTTTTAGCTTTTTTTACGGGCATTTATCTCATGTAGGTTCAGATTGGACATTGTGAGTGCTGTGAGGGAAGTGCTTACAGTGCTTGTAGTGCCTCAGTAGGACAAGGGGAGATGGCCTCAAGTTGCACCAGGGGAGGTTCAGATAGGATCTTAGGAAAAATTTATTCACCGAAAGAGTTGTCAAGCATTGGAACAGGCTGCCCAGGGATGTGGTTGAAGCACCATCCCTGGAAGTGTTCAAGATCACACAGAATCACAGAATGTTCGGGGTTGGAAGGGACCTCTGTGGGTCATCTAGTCCAACCCCCCTGCCAAAGCAGGGAAAGACTTATAGATGCGGAGCTTAGGGACATGGTTTACCGGTGGACTTGGCAGTGCTAGGTTAATGGTTGGCCTCAATGATCTTGACGGTCTCCTCCAACCTCAATGACTCGATGATTCCGTAGTAAAGCCTGATTGAAATTTCTGCAGACGAAATCTTCTAGGGTTGAGGGGGTGCAGCCTGTGAAGGTTGGTGAAGTGGGAGCTTTCCTACTGGCATAACGGTGTCCCTCACAGAGCCCTGAGGAAGCTTTACTTCCATCCAATTTGCTCGAGGTTCCCCCCCAGCCCCATGCCAGCATTACAGAATCACAGAATCACAGCACGGCAGGGGTTGGAAGGGGCCTCTGTGGGTCACCCAGC